AGCGCTTAATGACTCGGACGTCCTCAACGACGGTCCTGTCACGGTCGCCAGTTTTGAGATATTATGATATGCTCTAAGTATATTGCGGCCTGAGCTATCTCAGAAGAGTGTTTCCACTCACCCGAAGAAGGAGGGAGGAGTTATGTGTGTGACCGGGTTTCGGAGGGCGCTTATATTTAAGGCCTACCCGGTTACCCTGACCAGTAGTTTCCGTTGTGCGGTATCCGATGTCCAGTCGGATGCGAGGGATTGGACGATCCTTTATCACCTCCGCTCGGCTTACACAGTCGCCAGTCGCTGGTATTTAGAGGGGCAGCGACCCTGTAAGATTCGAGGGGATCGTCAATAGTCGGGTTCACTAAATCCGAGTTCCGAAGTCGCAAATTCGGTCACTGGACTGTACGGTGATATTGAACATAAATCTGAGTCAATATAGTATGGTGGTTGACTATCCACCAGTGGCTTGTGCTCGTTGGGCGGCGCCTCGCCAGTGAGTGGTCCCAGATGGGCAATATCTCAACCGTTTACGAAAACTGGATAATTCGCGCAACCGACAGGATTACGTGGTGCGCGAAAAACTATCAGCGTTACAATTTCGCCCTAGTTCGTTCTACGCCTGAAAATAAAGTGACCACCAGTCGGTGGCGTAGTGAGGTACCTCTGATGACGCCTATAGCCAGTGAGTTGCGATCTCCTGGTGTTCGAATCCAGTCGATGACGTGGGGTGGCAGTTTTTTATATTTTTTATTTATTAATGCCTGGACTGGATAAACAAAGTACCCAACTGGAATTTGTGGTCTCGGCCGAACTATTAGCGATGTATTTGCCCGCTAGGACTCTATATTGAATAATAAAAGATAACCTCCAGTCGATGGTATACATAGGCAATTTACTGTTATTTATAAACATTAAGAAACAAATCCTAATACGATTGGAATTTGTGATTTTGGCCGAACTATTAGGGACAGAGAATTTCGTAGACATATAACACATTTATTTAATGCATCCTAATCGATGGTAGAGTATGGTTAATTTGTATTAATTTTGTAAAAGTTAATAAACTATTAAACCGACTGGGTTTTGTGGTGAATCTTGACATTTAGGGATGCAACAATCAGAGGAATCGATTGATCCAATAAAAAATAAACATTTATTAATTTCAACAATTATGTTGCTATTTGCGTGCAAGCTGAGGACTAGAATCTACAGTTAGCATATATTGCTATAATCTAGACCCTCTATAGTGTGCGGTGTTTAGGCTATACTTAAAGAACGACGGAAATTTTTGGTCGCGCGATCGTGTGGTCGTTGCGCGTCACGTCGTGTTGCTAACCGAGATAGCGCGGAAGATCAAAAGCGCCGCCGCGCCTCTTTGTCCGGTGGTACGAACCCCTTCCGCAATTATTTAACGACGCGGCTCGACACAATTACGCGGTCTTATGCGTCGGGAAGAAGACGATGCGATCGAGTATTTACAGCGCGAGATCATGCAACGACAATTAAGATGCCGATAACAAAGGGACGGCTATGCCGCACCTACCGTTGACGACCGGGGGGGGGGGCCAGTTCTTCTCCTAGAGTGACCTAGCGGGCCCTAATCCAACGCCTTCGGCGGCTCTGACCCTTCCGGACGATGGGTAATCCCAATCCGCTTAGTGTACTGATGACTCGGCGCTAATTACACTCGTATGACTCTAACGCGTCACTATGCGGCAATATGCGTTAACTGCGCTTGGTTGTCGCCAAGGTTCGATCCCGCATGCACGTGTTTTAACGGTATGCAGCGGAGGCCGGTGTCCAACTCTTTCGAGCCTTTATCTCGCGGTTCCCTATATACCCTCGGACCACGTGACGGCTCTGTAGTAGGGATATCCGCAATCTATGACTTCGTTTACACGGCAAGATTAATCCGGATTAGTAACAATCGTAGTTAGTGAATTCTTTGATTCGATTGATATATTCTTTTAAATCTAAAAATATACTCTAATCGGATTCGAGACTGCACTAACTACGGTAGTTACTAAGCCGAAGTTAGAAGCCGTAAATGTAGTCTATGGCGGTACGAGGCACCCGCATTGAAATATATACTAACTGGAAGGAGCGGTGGCGTGCGATCTTATTGGCTACGTTCAGAAGAACAAAATGATCAGTGAGCGCTTAATGATTCTCGCTCCTGATTGGCAAATATTTCTGGGTCTATGAAGAATCTAAAAGAATGCTCCAGTTACAGACAATAATCACTAAGCGCTCACTGATCATTTTGTTCTGCTGAACGCGGCTATTGTTTGCATGTGAATAGAGAGAGAGAGAGAGAGAGAGAGAGAGAGAGAGAGGTTTTCTGGTTCCTCTCTTATCCTTGTCTGACTCACAGTGCCGTCAAGAGTGGGAATAATGAGGTACAGTCAATGAAAAAGTTAGTCGCTGGAAGTAAACAGTGTGAAAGAAGAGTGAACGAGTGAAAGAAGAGCAAGAAATTATAAAAGTTATAAAAAGATTGTAGATATAAAATTAAAAAGAAATAGCATTTGCAACGTCAAACGGACCCTGCTCATAGATATGTATATAGAAATCATAGACATAGTATATCTAGACTGCGTGTGCAAGGAGTGGGGGTATAGTTCACGTAGAAAAGGATATACTCTGTTTTTACTGTTCATTCTCTCTCCCACAGTCCCGATGGAAGGGGTATAGGGGAGGCAGTTGCTGTACAGTGCTGTACAGTAACCACCGCCCCTATTCCCCTTCCATCGGAACTGTGCGAAAGAGAACGAACAGTAAAAACAGAGTGCTTCCTTTTCTACGAGAATTATACCCCCACTCTTGAAATTTGGGAGAACGCGCAGTCTAGATATGCTATGTCTATGGTCTAGACAAGACGAGCTAAGACGAGAGAGAAGAATAGACGAGCCGCACGTGCACTGTTGCACGTGGCTATATAGAGCGAGAATTGAACGAGCACTCTCGGTTGCGGTGCCTATTTCCGCCGGCTCCGCGGTAGATGGCGGGAGCAGGTTGACCGCCACAGATGCTCTTGCACTCGGCTGATCCATTTTACAGCTTTATCACTCAATAATAATAGTATTTACACGCGCTTCAAATTTATAATGTCCCGCACAGTGATAGCCTCAGGGAGGCTTATCGCAAAGTCGTCGACTGAGGGGGACATCTTAACTAACATTCGTTCGCCCGCTATTTAAATTAAAATAAAGGTGTTCTACCACTCGGCTGGTCAATTGTAAAGTTTCATCACTTAATATGAATATTGTTTACGCGCGCTATTCGAATTTATATAGTAGTATTTCACACATGCCTAAGGGTTTTATCGTCAGAATTAAAAACCGTTAATATATTTGTTCGTCGTTCTTCGTCGTCGTCGTCGTCATCATCGTCGTCGTCATCGTTCTTCGTCGTCGTTGTCATCGCCGTCGTCGCCGTTCCTCGTCTTCGTCTTCGTCTTCGTCTTCGTCATCGTCGTCGTCGTCGTCGTCTTCGTCTTCATCGTTTTCATCGAGAAACATCGAAAAATGCAGAAAAACTCCGAAAAACGCAGAGAAACACAGAAAGACGTTGAGAAACGCAGAAAAATGCCAAAAAACTATAACACAAAAATATTCTCTTCGTAGCAGCGCTCAACGTAATTAATATTGAAATTTTCATAATTACTATACGCGTTAATTTCAAAGAAAATCCATCCGTTCTAAAACATTATTATCCAAAAGGAGCGATCAATTAACATATCATGCGCTATTATTACATGTAACGAGGCCCAAATGAAAGATAAATTACTTTTACCTTGTCGTTAATGACTGACGGCCGAGCGAGTTCTCCTCGCCCCGTGCTTCTCAGCTAAACCATGGCACAATACATGCGACAAGTCACTCACGGCCCGGAACAAACATATTAATCAGGTACATACTAATTATTATATTAAACTCGAATCGCACGTACTTTGCACGGCATTCCCGATATTCGCTAATAACGTATAACATTCGCCGATAATCATTATCATATTAATCTGTAACAACTGATTTCGAGAGCATTCCAAAACACTATTAAAAATATTTCTATAATGATAAAATAATACAAAAAGATACAAGCGACGACAATCCGAGGTCGAACACAAAGCGAGTGAGGCCGATTAAAAGAAATAAAATGTTTAAACAATATTTTTTGCTCTGCTTATAGGTTACTATTTACCTTAAGATAATTTATATGAAGAGAATTTTTGTGTCGTGTGTTTCGAAATATTTCTTGGATCTCACGTCATTTCACATCACATCGCATATACGTGAATAGGCGAGACTAAATTAAAGTAAAAATGGACAATTTTGCAGAAATTAAGAAATTTTACCATTAATTGTATTATTATCAATCTATTATGAAATAAAATTGATTGAATATACTTTATGTACATATATTATTCGCGATTGATTATATTATTATAATTACAATTACTCTATTGTATTGTTTCAGTACTATTGATCAATATGTACTGATCAATAGTAATATATTGTATTCTCTGAACGCATTCATTTTCTGAACCAGTTTCTTATAATATTAAACCTTGGTGAAGAAAAAATGGGGGATAAAAATAATAAAACAGATTTGTTCAGTTTTAATATTCAGCTTTTTTTTTATTATTGTACATAGCATATTCTTAAGTTTTTGATTTTCAAAATTGATTTGCTTTCAGCAAGAATCATATACGATAAAGTTTCCCTTCTCACAGCAGACGTTTAATAATTATTTCGCGTCTCGTATTTATGCGCAATTAAAATATCGAACTGAGAATATTTTTGCATATTTTTTTACTTTTGATTTATTCACAAGTGCGCGCAATACACGATCTCTAGTCGTTACTTTCAGAAAGTCTATTCAATATAAAAGAATGCTATAAATTTTAGTTTTTATATTAAAGAGAAACGTTAATTCGACACTACAGATTTTTCTTCATTCCGTATGTCGATTATTCGCACATCTCAATGTAAAAAACAACAATATTAACTGATAAAATGTTTTTTTTAATAATTAAACATATGATATTACCACTTCGTCTATTAACCGTTGTCGTTGTAAATGTACAAAATTTGTCCGTCGTCAAACGCTTTTTATAAGCCTCGTGGAAAAACCTCAAGTCCTCAGAGAGACCGCTTATTCACTACTTTGCACTTCAATATGAAACACACCTGAACCTCCTTCTTCTCATTTATCAAACCAAACTCAATTTTCAATTCCACTGGCGGATAGCTCTGGCTTATTGGCATTTTCAAATGGTACGTCGCTTTATCACCCTTCCGCAGCGGACACTTGCTTTTCGACAAAGACTTGCACGCGTCCGGCTCGGGATAAGGATACTTCATCCACCCTAGTCCAACATTGACCCGCACACTAGGTTCCAGCTTTTCCATATCAGACTCTGCGAGAAACATCACAAAGTTGCATTTACATAATTCAACGGATATTAATCTTTAAGTAGACGTATACATACGACCGAAGGAAACTATACTTATATGCCCTCAGTATGTATCGACAAATATTTATTTTTCTTAACTTAAAGAGAATTTATTTCTATTTTGTTTCAGTAACAACTTTAATTATCAAACTGCATCGTTTCTGTCTTTGAATATCTCTTGGTTTACTTAAATTTCGAAAAAAATAGAATAAAGTCACTGCTGACACCATACCCTATCTGCACAGACGTGGCAAGAACATGGCAAGCACGTCGCTGTGACATCATTACGTTGTAGCGACGTGCCACGTACGGTGCAGTCAGGGTAGACACTTGTGTCATTTTGGCGGTACGCCTACCTATGACTTTGATCGACTGTTCTTACGAAAAAAAAGATTATTTTAACTCCTTCTTTCAATATTCCGTTTCAGTTTTCCGCGTCCGAAAGAATCAGAGCATAAACATATATACAAATACGTATCTGTCGCGTTGTCAGCGTGCACTACGCTTTCGCACGAATAATCTCTGGTGTTTCTTTTTTTCAGTACTGGGCGCGGTCGAGAAAATTGGGTTTTCTCTAATTTTGTATTAATATACTTCCATGATTCACGATACAATAATTCTAAGTCTACGACTCTCCATGTTCCGTACTAATAACGGCTACTGTCATCGTAAGGATTGATAACGGAAGTTCTTCGTCGTACAAACGCGCGCGCGCACACATCGCGACCAAAGACAGCCGAACGCAGCCGAATCGGTGACTGAACCGATTGAGGGTACACGATTACATGGAGTCGAAATAGCAGAACGGATGAGGCAAATGGTGTGGTTAACCAATCGTGGCAATTCTGTTCCATTGTTTCACTGAAATAACAGAACAGATGTGCTCTAACTGGTTAATCTCCACTGTTTACCTTTTCCGTCTCTCCTCCGTTCCGCTATTTCGAACTCTATGTGACCGTATACCCTAACACGATTTTAGGGATTACGGTGGAAAATCAGCGCGCGGAAGAAACCAAACGTAAGGATTACGAAACGGTATCACTGAGATTGATAACTGCAACTCCGCCGCTCGGTCACGGTCTATTTGATGGGTCACATCTTTGTATTAACGCTTCTATCTTCTATTTTGATTCTTTTGTAATTTATCACTTGTCCCTACTTTTATTAATAATCCCTTCTATAGTTAGCTGTGCAGCGATGCAGCTATAACGTCACTTACTAATATCAAAATCCCACTCTGCTTTCAGGTCCGACCCTCTGTAGAGGTTGCAAGGAGACTTGGAACATCCTTCTACGCGCAAAGACGTCGGCAATGGTCCATCGGAACACGGTGCGTGAGGAGTATCCTGCAAGGATACCGCGACGCAAAACGTAACAATGATGGTGACTGAAAGCAGACCGATCATACGGTAATATTATATATCGCTTTGATATATAATTGGACACTAAAAATTTTTTAAATTAACAGATTGTGACAAATCACTGCGACAATTTACCAGAAACGTGAACTTTCATCATCGACCCGTGGAGTGTGACTAGGTGGTGATATTACGACTTATCTGATTTTCCATCAGCGCGAGCCGACTATTTATATCTTCCGCCTGTTAATATCTAATCAAACACCTGCCAGCCCTAAAAAGCGATAAGCACAGGATCGAAAAAAATAAATTCAAGCATCCGTGGCAATCGAGAGTTAACACCTGTGCTGATGTTGCAAGTTTGTGCAGCTTATCGGTCTTCGTGGCTTCATTGTGCTTCATTGTGCTTGAACAAACAATTGACGTTCCACAAGCAATCAAGTGACAGTCGTTGATTCTGATAAATAGAATTGGCAGATACGTATGGCACATTTTTACCGCGATTAATGCTTCGGTTCGTCCAACGATCTCCAGTTATTTGCGAGATTACTTAGTTGTACCTGAAAATAACTCCGACAACAGTTTCGTAAAATACTTTTGTAAAAAAAGACATATGTTACGGTGATTATTTTTCCGTTGCTTTCTAAGCAAAAAAAAATTATCGCGTGTATAAGTTATATGTTGACACACAGTTATATGTAGAAACACTATAAATATTTTTCTGCAATTACCCTGTATGTCTCGCTCTTGTTGTTATTCACAATGTAATGATATATACAATAATATTTCTTAATATTGTCTTATTTCATAAGTGACACTGCACATCATACTCGGATCGTATCTCTTACATCTATCAATATTGAAATTACATCTGTAAACAATTGAAACGTTCATCCACAAATCGTCCACATTTCTCCAAAACACGCATTATATACATATTGCGTGTGTGTGTGTGTGTGTGTGTGTGGGAAGAAAGAGAAAAAGAGAGATGCAACACATCACTGTTATTTTTAAAAAAATATTAATTTTGCATACTTTGTGCACCTCAACTTCCCTACATACATATGTTTTTTCTTCAAATTTCACTTATGACACAAAATCATGATTTTATAATGAAATTGTTAATTAATCGCCAGTTTTCGGTCCTGACTCGGTCCCAAGAATCCTGCTTGTTTTGAATGACTCTGTACAAAAGCGATGAGAAACGTGTAGCAACCAGGCTTAATAACAGAAATAGATAATCAGGTGAAGAGACAACTGCTGATAATTTATTGACACTGATTCATTCACACCCAGCTGTATTTACTGTTTTCGAGCATTGTGCACCAGTATCGAGCGCGAAAAATCTCAAGGCACTCGACATATGTCTACGATGGTGGATCATAGGTCGATGGTCGACTTGTGCCAAGAGGGAGGCTTCACGAATCTATTTATCAATCGATCACGTACACACGTTGGTGTGTACTTGAACGATGCATAATAGAAAAAATATTTCCACGATTCCCATCTGAAAATAAATGTACAAAAAATTATCATTAAATACATATTCCCGAGACGTCAGAGAAATGTATGATGCATTACGATGCATTACGATGCATCATTGGCGCGAGAAGAAATAATATTGCAACCATCACATATAGAATCACTTGATAAATGTGTACACAAATCGAACGGCAGAATGATCAATTACCCAAGAGAATGACCTGTAGACATTGTAATTATTCAAAAGTGATGACTCACTTGTAAATCGCCGATGGGTAAACGTCGAGGAGAGCGTTGTCGAAAATCTCGTAAATACCGGAATTCGTCACGCGCTTCAAATCGTTTTGTCCCGCGACGGAAGAATAATACTCTACGTATCGAGTGAAATAGTCGTCGTAAAAGACCATCGCTTCGGACTTCATCGATCGCTTCATCTCGTTGAAGTACTGCCGTTGACGTGCCATGATGTTGCTTTCTCCCGTAAAGTTACCTGTGTGTTGCAAAAAAGTCAAAATCTGTCTTCGATGACGACTTCGGTTTTGGGTCACGCGATAATCGCGAACCGGAACTGCGACTAGAAAGAAGCGTTTCAGTTCGTAGACGAATCAACCGAAGGAAAAAGAGGTTGCGATAAAACGATACGTATCATTTTCGCACATAGTTTACCGTTCTTTTCTCTTGCAATGCGCGCGTTTCGTTTTCTTCTTTTATTTTCGGTGTTTATCTTTTTCCTTGTATCAATTTTTCTTTACGTTAATTATTTTACATCTCAAGTGGCACGTTCCGGTCGAACATTTGCGTTTTCTTCGACAAGAACATAATGATGCGTGATAATTCAGAGATAAATTGACAAACGTCGTTTGCGCTGTGAAACCCGTGAGAAAAGTTGAGAGCTACGTCGTTGCTCTCGATACGCCTTATCAACGTAAAAAGGCTCTGTGCCGACCGGTCCGTCTTACATTCCCGTTAATCTTTGATTAATCATCCCAGAGACTTGAGATATAATCGTTCAAGCTCGCGTTCAATTTCGAGCATTTTGCACCCACCGGGTATGAAGGAGATCACTTTGACACCGTACTTGGCGAGCTCTACCCGAAGGGAGATGGACCAAGCGCGGAGGGCGGCTTTCGTTGCTCCGTATACGCTCAAACCCGGTAAGAATTCTTCGGCGCAGTGGCTGCTTATCACGATGATTCTGCTTTTGTTCGATAGTATAACCGGCATGAGGATCTGCGTGACTCTCATTGTCCCTACGAGATTCACCGCTACCTGATTCTTCACCTGCTGCTGCGTCTGCCAATCGAATTCGCCGAAGATCATCACTCCGGCGTTGTTTATCAACGCATATAGGTCTGCGAACCGAATGCTGATCAGAAACTTTGAGAAACAGGCACAACTTGGAAGAGGAAACAGAGGAGACAACGATAGAGTTTTCTCCTCTATGTGTATGTGTGTGTGTGTTTTTTTCTTTTTCTTCTCAATTTAAAAAAGAAGAAAAGATTCAAACAGCAACGAAACGCTACGCACTTCGCGTTCTCTAAGAAGACATGAGACAACGTGCTCTAACGAATCTTCGTGTTACAAGTTTCGCGACGCCTGTGAGAATTCAAATTGTTTCGAGGTATCAACAACCAACTCGTCGTCTCTTTGTCTCGAGAAAAGAACATGCCAGCGTCACACGATCTTCGTGTGACTGAACCAAGTCAGATATCAGTCGGATAATCCTCAATACGAGACCAGGCCGTTCCATCATTCATAGGATCCACCTCGACCGAGGAACCGTGGAGTTTGATATGCGCAATCAGAAATTTAAGAAGAGAGAAAAAAAGCATAAATGTGAGAGACAACACGCTTTGCGTATCCGCGGGTTTCCGACGATTAATTTAAGTAGGTTCTAACTGATGTTCTAGCTGTCTGTCTGGATGTGAACGAAACGACATAATGACCTGGAAATAATAGTCGGAAATAAAAATAGTAGGAAATAAAAACAACAACAACAGCAACAACAGCGAGACGAAGTTGACACAAGTCGCGACATAGTTGTTTACGAAAAGAGAATTGAGTAAGAAGATCCGACGAAGCGTTTAGCGAGCGATAAAAGATTAGAAACAGATCGTGTCTAATATATCTAAAATATCTACCCAGCAAACACAATATTACATGTAACGTGTATGTTAGTTGTAATTTCCTACTCAACAATATAACTGTTACATTGCTGAGTAGGAAATTACAATTAACATGCACGTTACATGTAATATTGTGTTTGCTGGGTAGGATGCATCTTATGAATCGCGGACTTGCCTCGTCCACGCTCCATCGTAGCTTAGTTGCTACCTACCACATTTTTTCTCGACGCATAAGGTCTTGATGTATTTCGCAAATTGCTCGATGCTCTCTTCATTGGTGCTGTCAAGGCGATGAACGATAACTTTGCTCTCCGTCAGACTTTGGGCAGCCTGACTATCGGGATACAGCACTCCCGCCAAAACTGTCGCGCCAAGAGCCCGACAGTGAAACGCCAGGCTATATCCCAGACCGGAATCGCAGCCGGTTATGACTATGAGATGCTGCGTGTTTAATTTCTCCTGAACACACAGCTGATAATACCGATAAGCCAGTCCTGTCGAGTGCAACAAAAATCTCTTATATTCGTACGTCAAGTTTTTCATTTCGATTTATCGTCCACTGTCATCCACTGTTTTAAATGAGGGACTTTAGGGTCTTCAGGGATACGGTGAGTTTGAGACCGAGAAACTACGACTCCACAACAATGTACGATACGGTAGGAGAAACATGATCTATTTCGTGTTGAAAGGAAAAACACTTCACCACATGCCATTTAGCGCAAATGAACGCAGTTGTACCGCGCGAACGGAAAAATATATAAAAATACAAGGAGAAAGCAAATTAAGATGGAAAGACAAAAGTCCTACAGCTTTGCTTATTGTATAGTAATTTCTGTATATCCGTTTCTATCCACTCGCTTTCTGAATTTCCGTAATAATATGCAAACTATTTACAGCAATAATCAGCGCAATATATCATCGCGAGTCATGTATCTCCGGTGCACGAGAGCACGAACGCTGAGATTTCAAATATAAACAAATATCAACAAATCGCGAAACGTGTTTCAGAACCCAGTGAAATACGCGAAATAATTATTCTGCCGACTTCTGCGAAGAACTTACAACGCTCAAATTTTTGCAGCAGCTTTCGCACATATCGCGTTCTCTGTATCGAATTCTCGATGCTACGTTCGAACATTGAAGGGACGAGGAAGCGAGAAGATAGCGCGAACAAAACAAATCCTCTTACCCAGAAAGATCAACGAAAGTGCTGAGATCGTACATATCTCGTATCCGGCACTATACAAATACGCAAGACCGGTCGAGACCGCCAACACAATCTTCAACGTCGTAGAATGTCTTCTCATTCCACACGCCGGCCACATGTTGCCGTGCATGGAACACGTCTTCGAAAGTTGTGTGTAATTGAATTACGGTCCAGCTAGTAGGAGGAGACAATGCGCCAATCTCCCGAGCTGATACACAAGTCAGCAGAAACTTTGGTTGTAACACGACTATCTGTACACGTCTCTCTCTCTCTCTCTCTCTCTCTCTCTCTCTCTCTCTCTCTCTCTCTCTCTCTCTCTCTCTCTCTCTCGCTCCCTCTCTTTGTTGCAAATAAATACGTTTAGTTACGTTAGTAGATAGTAGATGATTATATAGTTTACAATATGAACACTGAGTTGAGCATAGTACGTGTGAGTAACGTTTACGTTACGTATATATTTATTTTCGTATATTATATCTTGTAAAGAGACTGGATTCATCAACAGTACATAGTCCTTATTATTCATTAATAATAATAACTCTTGTTCCCATACTTGCTAGGCAACTCGGAATTAAATTTATACGCTGCCAAGTATTGGCATTTCGCGGCATTCACTGAACTCGACCCGATATACTATGTGTTTTACGGGTGTCGCGTCACTCGAACGTGAATACACGCTGTAGAAACGTTCGTTCGAGTAAATACCGAATAAATTCCGTCTATTGATCCTTCGATACGGAACGAAATCGAAATTTTGATGACGCGCGAGACCGTTGAACAACACTGAGGACGGCACGATTCAACTTAAATTCGCTGCACTTGTTCGATAAGAAGAGAGAGTATCCGACGAGAAGCGAACTTGCGCGATCGTCTTGCGAGCGACTGGTCTGCCAGAGAACATGAAAAAAGACCCAATCCGGTCTACCTGCTCTGCGTCGGGGTCTGTTAGCCCCGCTGCTTTTCAAAGTAACATGAGAATCTGCATAATCGAATGCCCAACTTCTCGATTTGATCTCGCATCGTGTGTTCCAATATATCGGTGAAGATATTCGAATTGCGAGTTGCTCCAAATACGGCTACAACACGCTCGAGGAAGAACTAGCCAAATAATGCCAATAATGTGCAATGTCGTTTTTTGCGTTCCGTAAGTATTTTTTTTTTATTTCAAGTATTTTTATTTCTGCTGTATTTTCTGTTGCAAGTCACAATCGCCGATCGATCGTAAGTAGTGATTGTATCTCGCCACTTTTATAGTATTTAAGATGTCGAGATTTATTACCTGACAATATAACAGAATATTCCACTTTGCCAGACGTCGTGAAACAGGAATGAGATCCGCTGAAATGAAGAATCATGCGTTGTTGCTCATCACTGTTGTCCCAACCAAGAGCCCATAAAACGGAACATGAGAGTGCGATACGTCGTCCTGCCGCGACCGATTGTCGCCGCTGAAGCTTTGAATATTTCATAGCCACCACTATTTATAGAATAATTCCATCGATTGAGTCTTCATTTCAATTTCAATGCATCCCCCGTCGAAAAGAACGGGAATTACCAATATGTAGAATACTGCTCTTTTTTTCTTTTACACGCTCACGTTACACGCTCGGGAGGTATCACGCTTCGTCACTTTCGGAATTTGTTAGTTTTAAAAGAAAAACATTTTCAGCATTAAAATGTATAATCCAACATAATCTAGAAAGTCGATCTTTTTGTTGTATCAAGTCGAATGTTTTCGAAGAATGACGAAAATAGCGGTTATATAAAATGTTTGACTAATTGTAAAATATATATATAAGTATGATGCACATTTCAAATAATAGTCGACATGATTCACTACATCGCAAGATAATGAATTATGATAAATGACGTCTGGTGTGGTACACGTACAAAATTTCCCGCGCAACAAACGTGTTTATGAGAAAAGCAACCGTCGCGACGTATGTGCGATAGCTTTCTTTTTCTTACAGTTTATAAATTCCTAGCTAAGTCTTTACAGATTCAAGTATACAATCTCAATGTAAGATGCATGTATACATATCACACATACACATACACACGCACATTCATTCATACATACATACATTACAGACACACATACAGACATTTACAGAAAAATTAACAAATGTTACGTACACAGCACTAGATATGTTCTGGTCACTGTTTCATTCGCAACAATTCGCATTCTTTTCTTTCTTTTCTCAGATTACCATAACATATTATGCATCTACACCATGCAAAAATTTCCCACACTTTGCATTTTAACCCAGCATTTTGTTCGTCCTGTTGCGATGTGCCGACAATTGCACGTGCGTTATCACTCATAATAATGCACGATACATTAAATCATAGACTTCTCGCCAAACTTCAAGTTGGAATTTGCCAATACATCAAAGCTCGGATCACCGTCTGTCGCCATTTTACCTAACCACGAACAGAGCAGTATGAGCCCGACCAAGAAAAATATCACGACAATGACCATCACGATGTATCTCTTGTATAAAGAACTCGCGATCCGCCGTCTTACCGGCGCTTTAGTCGGTATCAGCTTCCACCATCTAAGAATCCATTCTATCGCGGACTTCCGCTGATATTTATTCTCGTCATGGTCAAAAGACACATCCTTTGGATCATCGTAGGCCTCGCAGACTCTTCTGGACGCCTGAGTAGATAAACCTAAGGACGAGTCAATATTCACGACAGAGTAAGGTGGTCCTAGTTTCTGATTATTTGCAGTATGCACGTTGCTGACGGCGGTGCTCGGGTTGATGATGCTGCTTGTGCGAGACATAGCCACCATAGGCGACGACGAAGTAGTTGCTGTATGATTTTGATATAAGAAATTTTCAACTGCAATTGTGGGATGTTCCTTCTCTGGCTTTTGTTCTCTGTCATCACCTAGCTGCTAGTAAGAAGCACAGTATAAGACATTTTTTAATTTTTGTAACAATACGATATACGTACCAATGGCAAGCCAAGACCAGCACGGGCCCAATTGACTGTGGCCAATTTTTCCCTCAATACATCAGCGACAGGTGATACCAATTTGGGTTGTGGGAAGATGCATACTCTACATACAGGACAGATATATCCAGCTGGTGCTGTTGTTGCTGGCAAGTCTCTAGCGTATTGATCCAAACATGCCCAATGATACATGTGATAACATGTCAATCTTACACAGTCTCCGTCGCTCAACTGACCAGAGCATAGTGTACAGACTGGATTATAATCATTGTCATGAAGCCATAACAGATATGACTGTACTATGCACTGGAAAATATTGACAAATAAATGAGCAAATAAGTTACATTGCTACTCTATGCTAAAATGTATGAATATATTCAGGGAGGAAAGAACAGAAACTGCCAGTGGACATTTATCAAATCATAGATAATTTCCTAAACAGATTGCAAATATTTATCTTTTTTAAATGAACACACAGAGGGAGTTGATAAGCTGTCTGAATTAGAATAGACAGTAACAAGATATTGTTATTAATAACGATAAATATATGGGTGCGTGCGCGCGCATGTAGGCGCACATATCATACATACATGTGTACACACACACACACACAGCCCCCCCCATACACACACACACGATATATTAAATTAAAATTGTATTGTGTGTGAAAAAGAATTTTAATAAATTCAAAGGAAAAAAATTTGAGTACACACACGGATGAAAAAGTTACATGTGTCTCCATTCACGATAAAAATATCCATAAAAATGTCTAAAAATTTAATCAACAAGGGAAATGTACCTTTGGATGGCTCGTGACCATACAATGTTCACATACGTTGACGCGATGTTCAAAACAAAATTGATTCGTTACTCTTCTCTTCGGACACTTGCAAAGACCCATGTTGTAACTTTACGCGAGAACAAACAAGACGATCGTGACAAACAAGAAGTGACGACGTTAAACGTTACCAATAAGTAACTGCTTCACCGTCGCCACTGAGATTATTCTATCGAATTTCACTGTAGCGCAATAACATGTCAAATGCTCCGAATGATGGCAACCGCTTTGATCACACAGTCGTCATATCTCCATCGGCCACGTCGTCTGACATTTCTGGGAGATATAGACGAGACAGCCGGAAACAGCCAATGGTCTTGTACTTGGTAGCTCGTCGTCCAATTAGCTTGGCATTCGGTATTACATGGAAAACACCTGACAGGGAAACACGCATTGGGATAATGAACGAAATATGAATAAGTATTTCTTCACTCTTCTTCGTTTCCTCCTCATTATCTGATAAATTATTATTAACAATATTTAGCAACGCTCATTCAAACTTGCACCGAAAAATACCTTTTCATTTTCAAGTGGTACAACTTGACGACAAGTCAGACGAGTCTTATTGTCAAGTAGTACGCCTCAATGGAAAATCTATTGACCTTCTATCTTTACATCGTATGACTCGATAGCGAGAAAAAATACTTTTTTCTTATTCTGGGATACACAATTACATAGTAGCAAATCGGAAGATACTCCTATTTTCGCTATTGTGTGCCGCTGTAAGCGAAAAAATATTGGAATCCCGCCATAAGGAAAATAATGTTGGAACAAATCAAATGAATGAAGAGTACGGGGGGAAGGAATTTGGTGCTAAATCATGGGGCCAGAAACGAGCAAATTATCCTTGCGTTCCGAAATTGATTTCGAAAACTTTGCTTTTAGTTGTAAGACTGGTGGGCCTTAAGCCCATTCTACATTGGTCGCAAGACAGTACGCAAGTCGCAAGTCGTAGGAATTCACCAATCACAGTCGAATATTCTCTTAACATTTGACTATGATTGATGGATTTCTACGACTTGCGAAAGAGTTCCGTGTCTTGCGACTAATGTGGAACGGGCTTTAGGGCAAGAGCACAGGCTTTTGCATAACACATAATGCATAACGCATAAGAGAATAAACCAATTAGTTTTCTTCATTTCCCTCCTCAGGACAGAAATGAAGAATTTGATTTGTTAATTTTCTGATTTGTTGATTCTCTTATGCGTTGTGTATTATGCGTTATGTGCAGGAGTCTGTGCTCCGGGCCTTAAGCGGGAAGCATACACTCTTGCATAAAAGGCATAATACACAATGCGCAAAGAAATCAACCAATTGGAATCTTTATTTCTATCGCCATGCTGGAAATTAAAGACTCTGATTAGTTCATTTTCTTATGTGTTGCGTATTATGCCTTTATGCAAAAATGTGTGCTTCTCGTTTTAAACTAAAGCGGGAAGCACACACTCTTACATAAAGGCATAATGCACAACGCATAAGGAAATAAACCAATCAGAATCCTCATTTCTATTGACACGCTTGAAATGAGACTCTGATTGGTCCATTTCCTTATGCGTTGTGCATTATGCCTTTATGTAGGAGTGTGCGCTTCCCGCTTAAAGCGAGGGAGCACATACTTTTATCAGAAAGGAACGTAAAGCCCGTATTAGACTATGGATTGGGATTGAGATTAGATTGAAATTTGACCAATTGAAAAAGAGAAAATAATCTCAAGTATAGTAAACTTACTCCTGATTGGTTAAATTTCAATCCAATATCCCAATACTCAATCCCAATCCGTAGTCTGATACGGGCTTAAAAGCGGCCAACACGGTGTTTTGGACGACACCGACTTTCCGCACTGGAAAAGGATGTCATCTGCATCCATTTTGAGAGGGGAACTACGAGGCTACATCCACATTCAGGTTTCGGCGGTAAAACCTGTATGTGGTGGCAGTCCGTGCTACATCCATTTTTAGGCGGTTTATGTCCGTGCTACAACCATAATAGCATATTTGACAAGCACGGTCTCGCACATTGTTACGCGTTTATAACATGAATTAACATGTTAACATGTGCAAAAAAAAAAAAGAATTGACATTGTGTATGATTAATATCATGAAGATCATACGAAGTGTCCGGTAATTAGCTGCCAACCCGAAGTGAGAGGGTAGATTGGGTTGAGACAAACATAAAAGTCCTATACCATTTTGCGAGATTCGCAATAATTACCGAGTTATTAATGACAGAAATCTGAGGAGTAAAAGAGTGCGCCGACATAGATAATTCGAAAAGCGTTGCAGTTGCTTAGGGCAGCGATCATGAATCTTTTCCCTAGCGTGAACTAATAAAAAGTGAAAGACTTCTGTGAATCAGTGAAAAATGAAAAATTTTATATGAATTTGTGAAAATCGAAACATTTCACACGACAATTGAGTCGTTCAACATGGCAGTTGTGCGTTCTGGATAATTCAATGAATACCAAAGAAATCAAATTGATCAAAATAATAATGTCCGTGTAGTCCGAAGGATATTACGTGACACGCAAAATCCGTTTGATATAATATCCAAAGAAAATGTTTCAAAATATATATGTACAGGTAATATAAACCTTGTGCACCGACGAGATATACTACAAAGACTGATGACCTTACGGGATTTAGCGTACCAGAGAAATTTCCCTGGTGAGGCACTCGGGTGAAAGAGACCGTCTCGCATTTAGCGCAGTAAAATTTAATGGAAACTAATACTTTTCAATCCTTTTCTTCGGATCAAAAAGATTCAGAAATCAGACATATTCAAAATGTCAATATTTTTTAATACGTTTCAATTCGACATTTTATACAGAAAAGTAGGACGAAGGGAATGGGATGCGGGCAACGATACATCATGCGTCCCCAGACGTGTCAAATCGTTTATTATAGAGGAGACTTTGATACGGCAACATGTATTCGAATATTTAATCGTCCCATGGACCACTTATATATAATAAAAAAAAAATTAACGCCGATAAATGAACGATTCGTATCAATTTTTCCTTTTCTTATAGAGCAATGAAAGAGTAAATCAGTATCGAAAATCGAATACCGATTAATACCATAAATCAGTGTCAGAAAATTGTCCAAGTGCAATGACAATTTGTTCTCATTTTTCAGGTACTTACCCCTCTAATCTCATTCAACAAATTAACTCGGATAAACGAACGATTCGTATCAATTTTTTTGTCTTGTAAAACAATGAGAAAATAAATCAATACCGAAAATCAAAGACCGTTCAATATCTAATTTTTTCATCAAATTAACGCGGATAAATGAACAATTTGTATCAATCTTTTTTTCTTTTATAGAGAAATCAAAGACTAAATCAGTATCGAAAACCGGATATTGATTAATATTATAAATCAGCGTTAGAAAATTGTCCAAGTGCAATGACAAGTTGTTTTCATCTTGCAGGTACTTACCCCACTAATTTACTCAACAAATTAAGTCGAATAAAAGAACGATTCGTATTCAATTTTTATTCTGTTATAAAGAAATTAAAGAATCAGTCAGTACCGAAAATTGAAGACCGATCAATATTTAATTTATTCATCAAATTAACGCGGATAAATGAACGTTTCGTATGAATTTTTTTTTTCTTATTGAGAAATGAAAGAGTAAATCAGTACCAAAAATCGAATGTCGATTAATATCATAAATCAGTGTCAAAAAATTGTCCAAGTGCAATGACAATTTGTTCTCATTTTTCAGGTACTTACCCCTCTAATCTCATTCAACAAATTAACTCGGATAAACGACCGATTCGTATAAATTTTTTTTGTCTTGTAAAACAATGAGAAAATAAATCAGTACCGAAAATCGAAGACCGTTCAATATCTAATTTTTTCATCAAATTAACGCGGATAAATGAACAATTTGTATCAATCTTTTTTTCTTTAATAGAGAAATCAAAGACTAAATCAGTATCGAAAACCGGATATTGATTAATACTATAAATCAGCGTTAGAAAATTGTCTAAGTGCAATGACAAGTTGTTTTCATCTTGCAGGTACGTACCCCACTAATTTACTCAACAAATTAAGTCGGATAAAAGAACGATTCGTATTCAATTTTTATTCTGTTATAAAGAAATTAAAGAATCAGTCAGTATCGAAAATTGAAGACAGCTCAATATTTAATTTATTCATCAAATTAACGCGGATAAATGAACATTTCGTATGAATTTTTTTTTCTTATTGAGAAATGAAAGAGTAAATCAGTACCAAAAATCGAATATCGATTAATACCATAAATCAGTGTCAAAAAATTGTCCAAGTGCAATGACAATTTGTTCTCATTTTTCAGATACTTACCCCTTTATCTCATTCAACAAATTAATTCGGATAAACGAACGATTCGTATCAATTTTTTATCTTGTAAAACAATGAGAAAGTAAATCAGTACCAAAAATCGAAGACCGTTCAATATCTAATTTTTTCATCAAATTAACGCGGATAAATGAACAATTTATATCAATCTTTTTTTCTTTTTTAGAGAAATCAAAGACTAAATCAGTATCGAAAACCGGATATTGATTAATACTATAAATCAGCGTTAGATAATTGTATTGATTGAATTGAGAATCAGTCAATATCGAAAATTGAAGACCGATCAATATTTAATTTATTCATCAAATTAACGCGGATAAATGAATGATTCGTATGAATTTTTTTTTCTTATAGAGAAATGAAAGAGTAAATCAGTACCGAAAATCGAATATCGATTAATACCATAAATCAGTGTCAAAAAATTGTCCAAGTGCAATGACAATTTGTTCTCATTTTTCAGGTACTTACCCCTCTAATCTTATTCAACAAATTAACTCGAATAAACGAATGATTCATATCAATTTTTCTTGTCTTATAAAAGAAAAGAGAGAATAAATCAGTACCGAAAATTGAAGACCGATCAATATTTAATTTATTCATCAAATTAACGCGGTTAAATGGACGAGTCGTATCAATTTTTTTTTCTTGTAGAGGAATGAAAGAGTAAATCAGTACCGAAAATCGAATGTCGATCAATATCAGAAATCAGTGTTAGAAGATTGTCCAAGTGCAATGACAATTCGTTCTCATTCCCGAGTCTTTCCCGAGTCGAAATATTAATTCTACATTGATCCTGCAAATTGCATGCAATTTGAAAAATCAATGTAGAATATCTAGGTGCGCAATAGTGAAAAAGCTTTGTCCTACCTGAACGTTACATCTGGCTACTCTCGCAGTCTCGCCCATGATGAGTCTTCAACAGCGACGTATTCCACAGTTATTTAATACTCGTTTATTTCGATAATGTATACGTACTTAATCCTTATATTCTTAATTTAAATGAGCAATTTTTGTTGATTTTGATTATATATTCGCTTAACAGCGCAAGAAAGA